GCAATTGCTATATATTTTTCTTACTTATGTAGACAACGTTTCTGCAAATTATATCGGCGTGACCGGTGAACACAGCAATGGCGTGGTGGTAGACATCTCGGAAGGGTGAGATCATTTATCTCCAGTGACAGCCCTCGACCTCCACCATCACCACCCTGGACCTTAAATTCGATAAAGGTTTCTTTCAATATTTGCCTAGACAGTTTGGGTTATCTGATTGATCCTCTAATGCTGCAGAAAAGGCTAAATCATATCTAATCGTGCTGTATAAAAGGTCTGCACAATGCCCTTTGTCATACTTTGTGTTACTTTGTTCTTATAATGAATTAACTTTAATCCAAATGCATTATTAAAATGAAATGGAATTTTTTTTTCATCAAATCCCTTCAGGTCTTGCGTGTCTTTTTAAAAGTACATTAAAGAAATTAATCCATAATTTCAAAGCTTTCGTTTGCGGAGCGAACAGTTAGTCTTCATTAATCAACACGAAGATCAGTTATAAAGCAAGGAGGTCTTGGTTTCCGATCTTTTAGCCTCCCTTGCACCCTAACTGTAGGCGACTTCAATCCCTTCAAAAAGCCAAATGAAGACTCAAAGGTTATATCAATCCGATAAAAACTTAGCATATGGTATATGGTCGGAGGAGTCCGGAGGAAACTCAATGCTACCTTGTGTTACCAAATTCTAATGCACAGTCAGCCCCCCCCACCCCCCCCTCCCCCCTCCTACTCCCTCCACCTGCCCCCTCCCCAAAATCCTAACTAATCTTCCGCCATTCAAGAATCGTACGTGCTAATAATAGAAAGTAGCTTATTGAACCAGAAGATAGAAAGATAGTGTGTAATTCTGAAACCCCATTAAATATTGATAGAGTCATTTTAACTCTAGACAATGGCAGGTGTAAAAATACTTTCTTCGACTTATTGATCGTCATTTTGTCACGTGTTTCTGTGTCACTATTTGACTGACATCTTAACTTAGCTCCAAATACCATAATTGAGGACTGTTACGTCAGATTAGCTGTTGCTGTGGAAGTTTAGCTGTTATTGTGATAGTTCAGCTGATGTGGTGATTGTTAGCCTGTTATTGTAGTAGTTTAGCTGTCGTTGTAGTTTAGATGTTGTTGTGGCATTTTAGCTGCTGTGATAGTCGTTTAGTTGCTTTGATAGCGGTTTACTAGTAGTTTAGCTGCCGTTGTAGTTTAGTTGTTGTGATAGTCGTTTAGTTGCTTTGGTAAGAGTTTAGTAGTAGTTTAGCTGTCGTTGTAGTTTAGCTGTTGTTGTCGTAGTTTAACTGTTGTTGTGATAGTTTAGTTGTAGTAAAACTGTTGCTGTTATAGTAGGCATATTTAGCCTATTTATTAATGTAGATCCTGCTGTGGTTATTTTGTATTGTAATAGGTGCTTATTCTGTTGTTATCTGCTGCTATCGTCTCAGTGTTTTTGCTCATTGATTGATAGTTTCGAATCGTAGAACGTGCACAATAAGTGCCTATTAAAAAATACGTTCAGTTTTTCTGGATGGCAATCGGCGACCATTAGACTAAGAATTATTTCGTCATCCATCAACTTGAAGACAATTATCGAGCTTGTTTGCCTTCATTACGAATTAAAGGTTAAAGTTGGCGGGAAGCCTCGAAGGACCAAACGACATCTGCTTATTCCGAGATAGAATTGGTTGACATGTAACAGAGGTCCCTATTGGCTAATTATACTAAGCTCCACCAATCAAATCTATTGTGTAATTTCCCCGTGGATAATTCTGATGTAGATCTGATTTTGTGTCTTTAAGCTCCATTAGTCTCCTTAGCACATTTATGAAAATATATTGGAGTTTTATCTGATGAACTGATAATGGACTTTTGTATTCTATATTTTGTTCCTTACTTTCAGTTTGAAGTCCCACTTATTTTTGGTGGTCGTTATATAGTTCGATATAGCTCTGGACCATCCTTAGAGACCAATACCGAAGACAGGGTCCTCGTTGTTATCTTTGTAAAAGTAGTTTCATTTTTGTTTTGGTGGTTAGTTAAAAGGTCTGTGTGTAGACACTGAGACGTATCTCGACAGCGCTGGCCTAATCAAAAAAATTATCACCGAAATTGTAAGGGTTTATTGAAGGTGTTTGACAATAGATCTTCTAGATTTTGAAGGTCTTGACCTCCAGTCATACTTTGTATCATTCTTTATTCTTTCGTTGCGATTTAGGAGTTTTAACAATGATTAAAGGGCGATAACTCCATTATTAATTGTTGTAGTGTTGTTCGATTCATGTTCAGGAAATTAACAAAAATTCAAGGGAGTTTTACACCTTAATGCAGGGAGTTTATGTCAATTTCCATATGGGACTTTTCAATCTTTTGAACTAAACTATACGTCCTACTTTTCTGCTACTATTGGAGTAATGAAGATGCATCGCCATGCCGTGTGCAATGAGGGATATTTTGCCACTTTTCCCTATTTCTATTATAAATAGTCTTTAAGAGTGAATGAATTGTGACTAAGGATTTTTAAAAGAACTTGTTTATTGTGTAAGTTAGTTCTAACATGCCCAGTGCCCTAGAGAGCTGTGTTATCAAGTTCAAGTCATGGAAACTCCGCTCAGTTACTTTCTGTCTTTAAAATGCACCATGAATAAGTAATAAGACATTGAACTGCGTTGAAAACACACAGTGTTCAACCGCTTCATTGCACTAACATATGAAGCCATTTAAATTGCGTTGTACACAATATTAAATTGTTGTGATAACTTAACCAATAGAACTAAAAATCACCGATCTTGATTATTCAACCTGGGAAAAAATGTTCTTCATTTATTTCTTTTAAAATGACTTACCAGAAGTTTGACGGGCTCGGATCTCTTCGCCTTGTTATGTATGACCCTGGTATGGTTCCGTGCCATGATTGCATTACCATCCAGCTCCCATAATCAATGGATGACCCGAAATGAACGTGTAATTTAAAACACTTGGTAAATGTCCGGGTAATGAGTTAACTTGTCGAACTGCACGTACTTCTTTTAACTAGGGATATTCCCGTTTAGAAACCGGATGTTGACGTATTATAGTCAACGGATGACCTTACAAAACTTTGTATATGTCATGTTAAGTAGGTAGTTTGTCGACATGCACGTACTTTTCCTCACTAAGGGTATTTCCGTTTAGAAGCTGATTGTTGACGAATCATAGTCAACGGATGACCTTAAATGCACGCGTAAATTACAACACTTTGTAAATTTCATGTTAAGGAGTTCAAGTTTGAAAATGCACATACTCAATATCACGCTTCGTTAGCTGGTTAAAAGTTACCACCAGTCTTCGCTCGAAATGAAGTGAACTGACTTACTAATCTTTCCCAATATACGTCTTCTGTCCAAATATTAGTATTAAACCTGAATACCATCCAGCACATAATTAAGATATATTGAATCGCGCCTGTCAAACCCCTCGATGACAACTGAAGTGTTTATGAATCCAATATATTAGCTGATTACTCAACCGATTCCTTTCATTTCTAATTTCCAATAGCTTGACTGATAGCTTTAAAGGTACCAGGTAATATCGATACAGTAGAACTGGGTTGTATGAACTCTTTGAAATGTGGGAGGGGGGGGGGGGGCGTCAAAGCTGATTTAAAGGAACAAGTCGATTGCTAGCATCACTATAGTATTACCAGAGTTCTAGGCTATGTGAATAGAGCTCTGTGAAAGGAGGGCAGTGTCAGAGCCTCTTTAAAGGTGCCAGTCTATTGCTAATATCAACACAGGGTCGGTGCATCGGTTGAATTCTATTCGAATGCTAATGGAAACACAATATTACTGGTGTTGCCTACGTAGAGTCTTTGAAAGGGATGCCTTATTGACCCACCCAGTCTTAAGGGGCATCAGGTTGAGCAAGAAGGAAGACGTCAACCAGCCTGGACGATGTGAAGGAATTCTTTGACAAATATCATCATAAGATTATTTCCTTTTGTGTCTTTTCGTCTCTTGAAAGTCGATTTTGTCAATTTTTTATTAGGTGTATGTACTCGATAGATTAGGAAAGCAAACAAAAGTTAAAATCATTTCTCAATAAATCGAAAGTAGGATTGTTTTTTCTTCTCAGTTTCTGTCAATATGGCCGTCTTGTCTGCTATTCAATTCACCATTAGGCCAATATATCAATTTCCCCTTCTTCTACTTTCTATTATTTACGCTTGAGATAATGCACTGCTTTGAAATGTTTCCTCTTCAAAACAGCTTTGATTTCTTTCAGCCCTTTTGAAGCGTTTCATATCACTAGCTCACTTCGTCAAGGGCATTTTCACTTGTCAAGCTATTACGAACTTCGACTTATAACTCGACTGCAATAACCACCTTTCTTGTTACTCGGAATGCAGCGATTTGATTGAATTGTTAATAGCAAATAGACTACAGCAACTCGGAGCCCTCGACAGAAAGATATCATAATGTTTACAGTCTGTCTCTCGAGGGTAAGTTATGATTGGCGTACAAACCAAGCAAATTTGACGTTTCGCCATACTGAAGGTATATTTTAAAATAGGGACGGAGTTATTTCCCTTGAACTTGTGCCGGTAGTTATTGTACTTTTGTTTAAATCGAGTGGGAAAAAGCCTTGGATATTTTCCTTAAGAGTTCCTATACAAGCAATTATTTCCCTTCTCAGACGTAGAAAGTCTTAAGATATTAGTAACCTTAGAGATCTGCAGGTAATAGTATTTTTTACTAAGTTATCTCCCTTGAACTGTATTTTGCTGAATGTAAACATTGGATGCGACACCAACCCCCTCATTCCCTCTGTCCGTATAAAATCCATGATGACAAATTGCAAGCAATATTTGGAACGTCCTCTCCAACTGTTCATCACTATAACAAGCTTCTATGTTACACGAATATCATTTCGTGCAGAGTAAATAACATACGATGCCGCAGGGGATGCTCACACTTTCAGTGCACTTTGTATTAACACGACCCAAAACCAGCATGAAATATACGAAAGGAACAACGAATGATATAGCTTTTATTTTGATAACATAATGTACATAATATCTATAATATATATTTCGTAATAATGCTGCAACAACTTATCTTATGATTGTAATTTCCCACCGAGGGAGTAACATAGACCTATACTGTCAAGATTCTGTCCTATATGGCCAGGTATTCTCGAAACGATCTTAGCGCTAGGATGTCCTAGGTTCTTATCTTCTAACATTGATTCTAGGACGTCCTAGGGCTAAGATCGATCGGTCTATACATTGACAAGAAAGGGTCCTAAATTTCAAATATAAACAAAGATATATACGAATAATTGCTAATATATAGCTCACCATAATGCCCCTTTTTACATTCCGAACACCTTCAGGGTTCAGGCAACGGATCCCTTAATTTGCCCCGCAATATAGGCTACTCTTACTTCCGCGAAATGTTTTGATTCTGACCGGCAAAATCTTATACATATTCTAAAATATCACCTAACCACTTCCATCAGCGGTCTCCAAAACACCAATTTTCATTCCAATTTCGAATTATATATCGTCCCAACACAAAGTTGAAGCTCCTGTGCGAGCCCGCGCACTCCGAACTTCCCTAAAATTTCTGCTTAGATTATAGTGCAGCACGTAACCGTGCATTCCAAATGTTCATCACCGATGGAGAAGGTCTGTTGGTATTTCTTCTTCCCCCGTTTGACTAATTGTCATTCCTCCTCGTGCAGGTCTCGGTAAAAAATGATGGACCCAATGAAGGTTTTGTCGTTCATCTGACCAGCCATGGGCAAAAATCCGCATCGAGAGAAACCACCTACGTTCTCCACAATTTTGATCATTCCCTTGTTGTTGCTGAAACAGTCTACGTACATGCCAATGAAGTTCAAGTCCATGGCATGGTTTAAGGCACTACGAAGACAAAATTCTCCGACTCCTTTCCGACGTTCTGACTTCCTCACTATAATAAAGGGATCCGCAACTTTCGATCCTCGGTAGAACTTGCTCACAGTGATCACAAATGCTGCTATGAGCTCTTTTGACTTTTTGTCGGTGATCCCAAAATTGTGCCCTCCTTCAATTTCCTTTTGAAACTCTTTTATGTTGGGAAATTCGTTTATTCCAAAACCCTCGCCCTCTTTGGCCGCCTCTTGGATCATTTGGAACGTTTCCTCGAGCTGGTCGTCTGTTAGGTAGTCAATGATGACGTCACGTCCCCCAGGAAGTGACGTAACGTAAGGAATGATGGGAGGAACTCTGATGTTCTGTTTTATCAGCATTGTGTCTGTTGGTCGTACGCCCACTGAAAAGAGAAAACAAAAATCTTTCAAGATTAAGACATGAATATACTAAAAAAAAATAGTAACTGTGTAGATAGACTGGTCCCCGTTGTGTTTGCCTATCTTTGTACTAAGTTTTAGATGGAATGGCGGACCAGTTTACTGTATAGATTCTTTTAAATGGAAAAGGCTACGACGAACCTCACCACAGTGTGTCATGAGATGTTCCGGAATGGAACATCATTTTATTAAAGCTTTCCTACAACTCGAATAAACACTAAGACGCCCTGCTGCCATTTTCCAATAACCTGATCATTCTAATGATTTCTTGACAGACCCTAGTCAACATTGCTAATATTGTTTCTTTGGTGTTTTCATTATTACATTAGTAGCCTACTGATTCCGACCAATTCCTTTCTATATTTATCTAATTTCCGACAGATACAACTGTTTATAATGATATATCTTTTGTTTGTGTTTGTGTAGATGGACAGCACTTGGGTCGATATCGGAGAGCTACGTGCTCACCGACAGACAAGACGTCGCGATTCTTTGTCAGGCTTTTAATTCGAATATGTTGAAATAGATAAACTCAATATATTCATTCCAAGTTGACAAACCCATTTACAGTTACATCAGGTGTTCCCAAAAGAGTGAGCATGCCATGAGATCATTTTCATGCCGTGTTACTTCGTCACTCCCTGTGGAAAGAAATTGGTGTTTGTTGGTTTTAATTGGGGCAGACATCGTTTTAAAATGGCCATAAAATCGTTACATATGTTCCTAATAAGGCACACATGCAAATGAAGAATATTCAATCTTACTGTATATTTTAAAACACATCTGTAAAAAGCTGTAAATCTTGGTGAATTTAGAATACTTTCACGAAGCACACAAAGAACCTCCTCATATAACAGTTCGATCAAAACCAGCCAAAATTCTAATATTTCAAGAAGAATCGGTGTCAGACTAACAGAGCTATCAATGAGTCGAAGATAAATGGCACTGACCAAAGATCGTCCAATTATTTAATGCGAAAAAACACAACATAAATACGTAATATATCCAATACGACTCAGTGTTGAACAGAGCTGCGAATATAACATAATCCAATACAAGAATAAAAATATCAGACGAACAGTCCAATGAACATTGCTGCTGCCAATCGAACTCGCTAATGTTACATCTGAAATACACAAATCAAGACCAAAAGCAACAGCAAACACACTGAACTAGTACTTCCTAAAATCACTGAGCATTGGTGTTCCAAACATAACAATCGAACTCACTGAAGTTGTAGAAAAGCGACTTAGGCTAAAAGCAACATCAAACACATTGAGTTACTACTTCCTAAAGTCATCGAACAGCAGTGCTCCCGACCTACCAGAGCAGTCGATCCTACTAATGTGAAGTCGTTGAAAGAGAATGTGTTTATGAAAAGCAACACCTAGCACACTGAACAGTCGATCCTGTGAATGAATGAGAAGGTCGTAGAAACAGAAAGTAACTACGTTTATCAAGGCACGTCTGTCGAATTTATTACAGAATTTATCAGAAGGTAGAAATTAGAAATTATCACAAATAAACCCAGGAAGTTTTTAAAGCATGTCTTATCAAGTTGTAATTGCCGAGGTGAAATAGAAGATTATTCAGAACATTATATTATCAAATAACCGCATGCAAGTTGAATTTGAATTGAAACTTAAAGGTACAGAAAGCGAACAGAAGCATAGGATTGAATTTACATTTCACTAGCTGTCCCGATGAGCATTGTATTTCCGAAACGCGCGTCCACAGCATAGGCAAGGATTGATATCCATTTTACATTTCACTAGCTGTACTGATGAGCATCGTGGAAAGCATTATATATTGATCATGATGTCGACCAAAGACTGCAGTGGACCTGTAATGGCTTGGTCCTTCTTTTCGAACCCTGCAAACTTAATTTTAGGCTGCTTTTCAATGGTGTCTGAGGCAAATTGGTCTGGAATTAAGATTAACGCATACGACTTGGTATATCTTCTTTCTGCTATCGCTGATCGGTCTACACGTAACATCGTGGACTCTCTTTAAATTCTGAACAAATGTCATTTGTTTGTTTTCTAGCTCTGAGATAATTTTAATGGCACGGTTCCAAGGTTGCGGTGGGAACGACATATTTTGTCCATTTTGTAAGATTCGGTGAAACCCATGCTGCGATAGATATAGATAGATTATTTTAAAAACAAACCAACACTTATTGAAAGTCCGATAGCAGCTAACAAAATACGGCAACCCTACTGTGGCTTACGACTTCTCCCAAAATTAAAAAAACTCGGTGTTTGATTTTGCATGGATTTGACACGTAATCCCAATTAGTTGAATGACGTATTTTCTAATATAATCATGAAATTAGGACATACAACTTCTCAAGGGACCTAAGACCCCGTATTCTCGAAACGATCTTATCACTAGGATGTCTTAATACCTGTCTCAAGCTACTAGGATCGATCCTAACTAAGATCGTTTCGAGAATACGGGGCCATATATCGTATTTTTCATTAGATGGCTACTACGCTTATTGGTGAGCTTCACTGCGTATGTTTCAGCTAAGCCATCTGAGATGCAATATCTGCAAAATTATCAAAGAAACAATAGAATCAGTATCGGCAAGTTTTCCGTTTCGTTATGATACCAAAAATGCCTTCATGAAAGAGTTCACCAACCTGCAAGGTTCGTCCGAATCACCTTCACCAAGTCATCCTACCCTAAAGAGATTGCAAAGCGGATACAGTCGTGTTTACGGCAATATTCGGTGCTTCTTTCCTTGTAAACAAATAGTAAGACATCAGATGACAACATAACAGATTGCACACATCCAATATATTAATATATATATCTTAACCTATATATTTGTCTTGTTTAGGTTTAGCGGATATTGACCGCAGTATGTATACTAGTAGTACATAGTGTAAGATATAGGTCGATTGGCCTCAAGGGAAAAGCATTACGAGCGTCGTATTAGCTTGCTTTTCCCGATCTCGGCCAATTAATGCTGGATCGATACAATACAAGTCATATCTATATTTATATAAATGTTGTTTAAATTTAGTAAAGTGAAGAGGCAATTTAAGATGGACAGTTTAGGCCAGTGGTTCCCAACCCTCTTTAGTCCAAACACCCCTGGAGCACTCATTTCAACCCCTCACTGCCCGAACATATATATGATATCCCAATAATTTTTCTCCTGCAACAATTGTCTCCACCTTATAATTTATAGAAGCGCCATTGCTCGATGGTTGTATTGAATGGTTATTTAGTTATTTAGTTAGTGTTGCCCTTGAATTGCTCAGTATACATCGATGTGGAGGAACGCAATGAGGCCAAGTCTTTAATCAGAGGTTGTTGAAGCTTGATATGCGTACTATTCCCGTTCAATAAATGCCTTTAAATTGTCATATCTGTATATGTCAGAACATTTTGATACACTCTGGATATACAAATGCACATGATCGTGACATAAATGAGTAAGACAGCATCCACGTAGGATTCGTGACAAGACATCTATAAACATTCGCCGGACATCCCTTGCCATAAACTCTGTAAGGAAATCTTAATCATGCCAATCGTGTCACGACAGAAAGAAGTGTGTCATTTCCATTAAAAAAACACTATTAAAAGCATTATGAGTATATGTAATATATAGGCCTATTGGCTGGAGATCAATACGTTCTTTGTCCATATCCACAAAGCTCTGACTGACTTCTTAAGGTCAGTAAGGCAGGTTGCTTATTGGATTATTACAAAGTAAGTGTACTATAAGAATACGAAGTTAGGGATAATGTACTCTTGATGTTATTATCTAGGCTACATTTGAGTGCTCTATTTCGTCTACAGCTTACGCTCCGGCTTTACCCACCCACCCCCTCCGGACCGCCAACTGTCAAATTTTTTGTCATTGAGTTCTTAAATACCAGGTGCTGTGAGCCCCTCTTTACAACTCTGTGACCCCTACTCACCCACATAACGATTCATTAGATACGCCAGCATCCACAAAACTACTCGCAGGATCATCAGAGCAGAGTTCTTACTTTAGATGAGAATAATAACAATGTTCAACTTTTATTTTTCAGGAATTCCGCAGTCGATAAACTGATGCTCCAAAATGGTAAGCATGCTTTATGTATATGAATTGTGAAAACTGTACAAGAGTAAAAACTTTCCCAATGTCCGTCAACTATCTCAATACAATGGGCGAACCGTTTTATTTGATCTTCAAGAGGCCATTTGTCTAAAAATGAAAATTTCATATACTCCTTAATATTATTTATTAATTTTAGTAAGTCACCTTTGTGGGTTGTATATTTACCATGTGTCTTTTAAAAATAGGACACGTGGTTTAAAGATTGTAATAAAGCCCCATGATATGAGAAAATATGTTTACCAAGCACTTCAAGTACTCTTATTGTGTTCAGAGAGATGATATGTGATATGAAAGGGAGATAGGTTTCTATTGAGTTGATATATGACACACGTGATGCAGATTGGATGGATGTGTAAGGACACGTGAATATGTTACGTTAAAAGCTATCTTACATTGCCCTGATTGTTCCACGGTTTGTAAAAAAGTAGTGGCTATTAGTAAATGGTATGAAGGGTATGCCTGCAAGCACTACTCTTGGGTGGTAATACGAACACTTAGCTCGACGACAATGATTACTGTATTCAACAACTTATAAATCTCTTAGCTCCGCTATAGTGGTTTGTGCAACAGGTTGTGCAGGGTATACGTATGCTTGATGCTTGGAACAGCATTTAACAACCAAACAGAGGGTAAAATTAGCCAAAATACCTGAATTCGAACCACCATTCAAAGATATGCGTTCAAGTCTGAAAGGGCACTCACTGTAACTAATAATACTTAAATCGTGTGTTTACATTCTTTTTGCCACGAGACATCATTCATCTCGTATTACATTATAACATTATATTTACCGTTGAGTAACATCATAAATCATTCAATACGAACTTCTTTCCAATCCTT